GACATGTGTATACATATGGCTGATTCACTTTGGTGTCCACCAGAAACTAACACAGTGTTGTGAAGCAATTATACTCCAATAAAAATCTATTAAAGAAAATTATGATCATTTTAGTTTCTGATATCTTGAGTTAGAGTGGCCCATGAGACACTGTCAAGTTACTGAATACGCTATTGAATAAATGGTCCTGAATTTTAGAAGACATTTGGATCAAACAAGCAGTTTGAAAGTCATCAGCATAATTAAATTAATAATAAAAATTACCATTGGAGGGCTTACTACATACAAGCATTGTTAAGTGGTTTATATTCATTATCTCTTTTTTCATAACAGCTCTACAAGGTAAATACTATTATCCCTTTCAAACAAATACGGAAATTGAGGCTTACAGAGGTTAAGTAACTTGCCTAAGTTACATAAATAATGCTTACCATAAATAACGGTAAAATCTAGAATTAAGCCCAGATAGTCTATTCCATAATGCACTCAGCTACATACCACCCAGATGATCACTGAGAGCATTAGAATAAGTGGTATCTCCCAGGAAGTTTATCTATAATATAAGAAGAGAACTCTACAAGGAGCCTGAGATCCCCCAGTACCACAGGGATGGACAGAGGATGTAGGAACAACCTGTGAAGCAGAAAGGAAACGACAGTGGAGTGAACAATAGTGTGGCGAATGCTGCCAAGATGTCAAGTGGGAAATGGCCTGGAGGGTGACTTGGGTTAAGTGATGAGGGGGTTGTTAGTAAGCACGGTGAGGCTGTTTTAGAGGCATGATGAGCATAGATGCCAGGTTTAATGGTTTGGGGTGTGATTGGAGACAAGGAAGAAGAGACAGGAAGTGGAGACTACTCTTTCAGGAAGTTTGCCTGTGACGGAGAGAACACAGAGAGCATGGAAGTGGGTAGGGATGTAAGGTAAAGGGGGAATTTTTCTTTTAAAGAAAATGGCTAGAGATGAGCATGCTGATGGAATCACATATTATTAGGATTAAGTTGGTAGTGAAGGAGAGATTGAAAATAGGGTAGCAAGGGGGCATACTGGCAGAATGCTAAAGACAGAAGGGACAGGATCGGTAATAGAGGTAAAAGGTTTACTGTATTTAAGATCAGGAACAACTTTTCCATTGTCACAGGAAGGAAGACCAGCTCGGGGCAGATGTAAGTACCTTTGCAGAACAGGTTTAGAAAATTCATGGAGCTCTTGTCTGATGGTACCAATTTCCCCTGTAATTTTCAGAGAGTGAGAGGGAGGTGTGAGCGTTAGGGTATGGAATGCCATGGAAGATTAGACTATCCCCTCTGGAAAAACATGACTGAATGAACTGTCAGGAGGTATGAGTGCCCAACCCGTCAAAATGGCATGAATGAGCATTCCTCATACGTGCTGCGTGGTTCTGTCAGCAGAGCCTAGTGGTCAGGCTATAGGAGAGGTGAACGGTGAGACTGCACTAAAATTCAGACATGATTAACTGCTTCTATCATACTCACTATTCTCCCTTCCTCCTTGCTAACAGAGCCCTGTTTTTGTTTAGGTGACCACTCTCCTCACTTTAGACATAGTCTTCAAGGGAGGCTGGTCCTGATTAGTCTCAACCAACCATGGTGGTCCTTGTCAATGACTGATTTGGGCAAAGGCATGAGCATGTGATGAATTCTAAGCAATGAGGTGGATTCCGCAGACAGGAAAATGTTTTCTTACTTCTAAAACGAGAGAGAAGGAAGAGATGGTCACTTTTCTACCTTGGGATGCTGTCTTGCCTGCAGGTGCTGCTTGGAAGTAGCCTGAAGGCAAGGTGACATATAAGGATGCAGGGTTCAAAGGTAGAACTGGGTCCTTGTTAACATAATTGAGCTAGTGACCTTCTTGTTATGTGAGAGAATTACCTTACTGCTTATGTCATTTTGAATAGGAGTTTTGCTATTTGATACACAAGATGAGCACATTGGAAAGGTAGTGGTACAAAAGACATTGAGGATATTGGCTAGATCCTGCTTGAGGTGATGGACCCTGCAGTCTAAGATGGAGAGGGAAGGAAATGATGACAGGAGAGGGCTGAGAGAATGTAAGGGCTCTTGGCCTGGAAGTCACAAAGAAGTCAAAGAGATAATGCCTTAGGCGTAATGGAGTGAGAAAGATGGAGTAACTGGAGAGAGGAGAAGAACTGAACTTATTCAGATATTTTGGGATTTTCCTAACAGTGTCATATTTGAAGATCCATTTGGTTCTTTATTTTAGTAACTGTGAGTATCCCTACAAACGATTTAGTATGGAATCTGGTCAGCAGAAGTGAGAGAGGCAAGAGTATCTTGTCACCTTTCATATGTTTTGGAAATAAAAAAGAAAATGGTATATTTTAGAAAACATTTGTGGGGAGAAGAGCTTTTAATAGGGAGCTACAAACTGTATATTTCCACCCAGACTCCAAGCCAACTGGACAAGATGGTAATTAGCAAGACACACTATTGTTCACTCTTACACACTTCATAGCCCAAGCTTGATTCACAGAAACTACAAAACAGAATAGTTACTGTGAAGCAGTGCATTTGTGTGGGGCGTTTACTTTTAATGGAAAAATATGTGTTACGGCATTCATAGTATAATTGCCTGACTGCTCCTGCTGTCCCTATTTCTTTCACTGCTACCATTTTTATAACAGATTATTCTTCTGGAAATAGTGCCTGATATTTTATTCATACTGTGTGTATAACAAGGAATGCTGAATTCAGAGGGAAGTTGTGTTTCTGACGAGGGCCCTGTAACTATACCTTGTGACATATAGAAGCATTTTCATTTTCCCACTGCTGTCCATCTTTCTTCTTTTAATTGGTGCATTTCATACTCCATTTCTTCCTCCAGCCTTTTCTAATTTATAAGAAAATAATTTCCCACAGATAAAAGCACTCACTACACTCTTGGAGTGTCTTGGAGTCTTCTCTGAGTAATATTGTGAAGACATTCTAGCTGTCTTTTAAAAACCTTTCACTTTTTACTTCCAGAAGATTCATGCCCTTAATGTCCAAAACTGTCCACTGTGCAACTTACCTAACGTCCTCACCTGTCTCCTGTCCTTGAAGAATTTAGTTATCTACAATAAATGATCCCAGATTGTATTCATGTTAAGCTACTCCTGATAAAAAATTTCTTAATGAGTTATCATTCTTATGGGTATGATCATTTAGCAAGGGGATATAAAGTGATAGAAATACCTGACTTCAAAAGAATAAAATTACTAATAATTGACAACAGAGCAATATATCAAGTATTTGGGCTGGGGAGATAGGTTAGTGTTCATTGACCCCACAAGGTAAATGACAACTGACATGGCTTAATTTGTTCTAAGTAAAGTCTAATTCCATGAAGAAGTAGATATTATTTACATTATAAAAGGTTTATTTATTTATTTTTGTCATTTAGAAGCTATATCAGTCAGGATAGGCTATGCTATGCAGCAGAAACAAATAACCAGAAATCATAGATTTATTTCTCAATCAATGACCGTTGTATAGAAAGTCTCCACTAATCATAGTCACTCAAAGACCCTGGATGTTAGAAACACTATGTTGACATCATGTGCTTCCAGGTTCCAGGATCACCCCAGCTAGGGGAAGAGAATGAAGAAGTATATCATGGTCAGGCTCTTTTTGTTGGCCAGATGAACTCTCATGGCTGTGCTTAATGTCAAAGGAGATAAAAGAGAGCAATGCTCTATGGCTCAGAAAGCAGACAGCCAGAAATATTCAATGAACAGAACTAATAACCTCCACAGAAGAAATGCATACTCCTTGAAGAAAAATTTAAAAAGACAAAAGAAAAAATAAAAGTAAAAACAATTTGTTTTAGTCTGCTCAGGCAGCAATAACAAAATACCATATACTGGGTGGTTCAAATATCAGAAATTAATTTTCTTACAATTCTGGAGTCTGAGAAGTCCGAGATCGAGAAATGGCCTGATCTGGCTCTAGAGCTCTGTTCCCAGCTTGCAGATGGCCACCTTCTTGATGTGCTCTCGCATGGTCTCTCTTTAGTGTGCCTGTGAGGTGAAGAAGAGGGGGCAGTTCTCTTGGGTTTCTTCTGATAAGGGTATTAGTCCTATCAAATTAGGGACCTGCATTTATGACCTCATTTAAAATGGCTTACCTCTTAAAGACCCTATCTCCAAAGAGAGTCACATGGAGGTTAGTGCTTTAACATATGCAGTTTTGGGGGGACACATTCAGTTCATAATAAAAATATTGTAGTTGCAATTTTAGTAACGAGGAGGGCTAAATAGTTGTAGAAACTCTTCTTTCTACCAATAGCTGAAATTCTGGCCCGACTATAATAAACACATTTATTTTGGTTTGAAAGAATGAGGACTCCTCAGATATTAAGAGAGGATTTGGTTGACCTCAGACCAAGATGTAACATAGGAGGCTCCTGAATTGTCTTCCTCCTGTAGATGTACCAAATGTACAGCTATGTATGGAGGATTTCCCTCTGAGAATGATAAGTGTTGGCAAGGACATGAAGAAAAGGGAACACCTGCTTATGTCATTTTGAATAGGAGTTTTGCTATTTGTGTTTTGCTATTTGTGACTTCCACTCTAGGTGGGAATGTAAATGTGTTCAGCCAGTATGAAAGACAGTATTGAGAGTCTTCAAAAAATAAAAAGTAGAACTACTGTATGATCCAGCAATTCCACTTCTGGGTATTTATCTGAAGAAAATGAAAACACTAACTTGATAAGATATCTGCATCTGCATGTTCATTGCTGCATTATTTAAAATAGCTAAGATATGGAAATAACCAGTGGACAAATAGATAAAGAAATAGTAATGGATAATAATGGAATATTACCCAGCCACAAAAAAGAATGAAATCTTGCCATTTGTGTGCAACACATGGCCAGACCTCGGGGGCATTATGCTAAGTGAATTAAGTCAGACAGAGTAAGACAAATACCGCATGATCTCTCTAATATGTGGAATCTAACAACAAATGAAACCAAGTTCATAGATACAGAGAATAGATTGGTGGTTGCCAGAGGTGGGAGAAATAGGTAAACTGCTTTTTATTACTTTAAATAAATTAAATAAAAAGAATATATATGTGTAGTGACAGATGTGTTAATTAGTTCAAAAGTGGTAATCCTTTCACAAGTTATATGTATATCAAATCATTATATTGTGCACTTTAAATATCTTACAATTTTATTTGTCCATTACACCTCAATAAAGCTGAAAGAAAAAAAGAGAGGAAGAGAGAAGTCAAGGTCAAAGGGGAAGCTTGAAGAGAAACTCATTTCTCAGACATCTTACCAGATGGGTCCCAACAGAATAAAGTGTAAATCATTCTAAGGAACCTGGCACAATTAGCAAAGGAAATCACTTGAAATCTCGTCATCCAAAGACAAAGTTGGTTAATATGTTGGTAAAATAGCCTCTAGGGATTTTTCTACATGTAGTTCCATTTTTAACATAGTTACACCCCTAATATTTTGTGTCATGGAAAGCTAAGATTTTCTGCAAAAGGAACATAAATTGCTGAACAACATAACTGAGTTACTGCAGTAAACATTTTTTTCCCCACCTGCAGCACTTTCTTCTGAAATGGGAAATGTTTTTTTTCCCCCCATAACCTTAGAAATATGGCTATCTTCTGCTGTAAAAAGGGGGGAAGATGAAGAATTAAAAGCAAAAGAATTTAGAGAAGGGTAGAGAGAGAAAATAAGAACCTCAAAAGACGCTGTTGATCTCAGTGTAGTGTAACAAGTATAAGATCATTTCCATTTGATTGATTTATGCAGGTATTCTTTTAAGCAAAGGGGCCTTCTCATCAACTCAATACCCTCTGTATCTGTGTTTCATTTTTTCTTGCTTCATGTCTAATTAGACTGGAAGATGGATTATTTCCCCAGAAAATTTGTAAAAAGATTATACATCTGGAGGCTGTTTGGATGAGTTCTGTGTCGACACTTCTGTTCTTCCTGTGCAGGAGGCATAATGGGGACAGAATGAGTGGACACAGATGATAGTTTGCTATTAAATAGTTTCAGTTTCTTTTCAGAAATCTGAACTGCTCTTCCTTAGTCATAATGCACCTCCTTGGGCAGGGTGAACAAATATAGACAACTGCAAAGGCTTTACCCAGCAGGCCTTGTGGATGTGGGGAAGCTGCCCTCCTCACATCAGACTTGGTGCACGGCAGTGTCTGAAGGAACTAAGGTTCTCAACCCCCAGCTGGTCTGATCTTTATGCATATCTGCATTCCAAGCTGAGGCACCTCATTTGGAGGCCTCCAAAAAGAGCTGGGGCTTCAGGACATCTTAGCCACTCCGACTCAATACTTTTCCTCTTCTAGCCCTTCCTTCTCTTCCTCCTCCCAGCCCCTGGGTCCAAAAAACAGCAGGAGCCTTTTGTTCTGGGATCTTCTCCTTCCCTCCAATCTGTGATGCCTGTCATTTGTCCTTAGCCTCGTGCTGTGCCCTGGGGAAAAATGGACCATCATAGGCATGGAAGCTGACGCCCTTTCCCCCTTTCCTGTTAATCCTGTTGCTTATAGTATCACAGCAAGTGAATAAAGGCTTGATACTTTCAGTTTGAGTCATTGTCTTCACTGACCATCTTGATGCCTGGCAGCTCTCTAGCACCATCTGCCCCTGTTGTGATAAACCTTGAAGTTTGTGCAGGGTGGAGATGCCACAAGACTGAAGCAGCCTGGAATTCAGAGCCACCGCTTGGAAAACAGTGACCTTGGAGAGTGTCCCACACCCACAGCAGACTTGGGTGCGAAAGCAATCAACTTTCATTGAGCCACTGAAATTTTGGTGCTGTCTTTTACCATAGCGCAACAAAGCTGATTATAATTGAAATGGATATAAGACTAGACATGCTAACACTTACCTTTCTCAAACTGTGGACAAGTCCAAGATGGTGGGAGAGTCAAAGAGATAAGAGAGGGCCCAGCACTGTGTGATGTTCAATGCAGCAGTCACAGATAACCCACTGGCTACCACGGTCCAGTGAATGTAAGGCTCTCCCCAGACTCCAGTTTTATTATTTACTCCTCAAAGGGGGCAAGGGAAAGTGGGCAGGTGACAGAGAAGGGCAGGAAAGTATTAAAATAATGTTTCCTTCAGGAAGCAAAGCAGAAACCCTGTAGTGAAAACTGTGCTGCTTCATTCCTTACATATGAGGGTTTGGGTCATGCCCCCCCCCCCCCCCCCCCGCCCCCCCCGCCCCCCCCCCCCGCCCCCCCCCCGCCCCCGACCATGAGCCACTTGACAAAGGTGTTGGCTGAGGATGAGGGCAATCTAGAGTGAAAGGTGGAGGAGGGAATGAGAATTCCAGTTATGATGTCAAAGTGAACCGTAGCCTCAAGAGCTATAATTTCCCTGTCCATGTTTATTGAGATGTAATTTACATAGAACATTGTAAAAGTTTAAGGTGTACAGTGTGATGATTTGATACATGTATATGTAGAGAAAGGTTTACCACAGTAAGGTTAGTTAATACATCCTTTACCTTACATAACTACCATTTTGTTGTTGTTATGATGAGAATATTAAAGATTTAATCACATAGCAACTTTCATGTGTACAATATAGTATTGTCCATTATAGTCACCTGGTGATATAAATTGCCTAACTCTTTTAAGTTCCCCAGGAAACAAGACCACCAGGATCTTTGAGAAGCTGTTCCCAAATGGGTCAAACTTACCGTATGACACATGTACTCCCCATAGGTTGAGGTGCAATCGGGTTACAGACATGCTTCCCCCTCTGCCCAAACCTGCCTTCTCCATGTTCTTACAGGTCTATCTTCTGAGAACACTTCTCAATAAACCTTCTGCATACATTTCTCCACCTTAATGTCTAGTCCTAAGGAGCCCAATGTAAGGCAATTCCCCTGTGAAAAGTTGAAGGGGAGACTATATATTGGCTTTCAATACCAGAGATTCCCTATTTAGAACTTAGAAAATGTAATGAGCATAAGTGATGAATGCCCAACATGTGCCTTGTTCTGAGCAAGATTATTCTTTTTAATGTGATTCTCACACCCTAGTATGGAAATCGAGCTTAAGGAGGTGAAGTGAATGTTCCAAAGTCCTTCCCGAACTGCCTAATCACAAAGCTGAGACTTTTCCCACTATGGCTTTATGACAAAAGCCAGAGTTGTATAGAAGAAACTCAGACAAGAAATGTAAACAGGTGTGGAAATACTACCAGAGTGCTAGGCAGAGCACAGATCTCTCTGGGTGATGTTCAACATTCAGCTGAGGCTGTTTCTACATGGAGCACGGTTGATGAAGGTAACATGTTGAACTGGGCTGTGTCTGGCACCTGCTCACTATTCATTTTGAGGGAACTGGTTTTATCTGCTCTTTACACTCTGAGCAAACTGGCCTTTCTTCTTTGCTGTCTTGTATCCCCTGCCCACCTCTAATTGTGGGTTTTTTTTTTTTTTCTCATAAAGGTGATTCAGAAAGCATTGCTAAGAGTAATGAATCCTCCCTCCAGCAGGACTGACCTTATTTTTCTTTTCTCTGATTTGAGGAGTTTTTCCAGAAGAAAATATGTTGGATTCAAAAATCTCATCACTATGGCCCTGGAAGCGGTGATTCCCTGGTTCCAAAATACAGTGTTTTTTTTTAAACTTCTGTTAACTAGAATACCCAGAGCATGGAGTATCCTGTTTACTCAACTTTAATTTGTTACTAAAATCTTTCTCAAGTACATGTGGATAAAAGTATGAGCCCACTCCTCTGCTTTAGTTTTAATATAGCAAAATGATTCAGAGTAAATCTTTCTTCGATGATTCAGAGCTTTATTTCAAAGTAATCTTTTTTTATGGAACAATCCTATAAATGTAGACAGTATAGAAAATTGAGATGAATATGTGCTAACTGCTAGATAGTCCCTGCAATCTATTGTAAAGAAATCTGTAATATCATTGTTACTATTCTTTTCTTTTTTTTAAATAAATTTATTTATTTTATTTATTTTTGGCTGCGTTGGGTCTTCATTGCTGCACGCGGGCTTTCTCTAGTGGCGATGAGCGGGGACTACTCTTCTTTGCGGTGCGCGGTCTTCTCATCGCGGTGGCTTCTCTTGTGCCAGAGCACAGGCTCTAGGCACACAGGCTTCAGTAGCTGTGGCACGAGGGCTCAGATGTTGTGGCTCGCGGGCTCTAGAGCGCAGGCTCAGTAGTTGTGGTGCATGGGCTTAATTGCTCCACGGCACGTGGGATCCTCCTGGACCAGAGCTCGAACCCGTGTCGCCTGCATTGGCAGGCAGATTCTTAACCACTGCGCCATCGGGGAAGTCCCATTAGTTTTCTTTAAAGATAGTATTTGAGAGACAAAACAAAATTTGCTTAATGAAAAGTTCTAATTAGTTACAGTCTAGTCAATTGATGTTTTACTGAACAGATTAAAAGCATTATACATTACATGCTTTTAGATGAGTTGGGATATAAAAATGAAAAAATAAACCAAAACACTCCTAAAATGGAGCTGACTGAAGGTCTGGGTACCCCTCCACCTTTTTTTTTAATGTACAGAATCATATTAAACTTCTTAATTGAAGATGTTTGATAAGCCTGTTTTCACAGAACTACAACTTTTGGTGCATTTCTCTGGTTAATTATTGGCTTGCTTTTCTTTTTTATTGGCTTTTATTGATTTCTTCTGGACACATGCAGGGCTATTCAATTTCAACGCAGAAAGGGTTCTGTCCACCCTTGGTGAGGAGCTCCCATTGTTTTATAGTCAGGAAATTTTCCTTTGGGGGTTGCCTGTGGAGCTCTCACAAAGAAAGAACAAGACCTAAGAAAATGACAGATGTTATCATTGTCAAGGAGAACCTCTGCCTCTATTAATATTGAATAGATTCCAAAGTGATGAAAATGGAACTTTTATCCTTTTAACTTCAAATCCTTTGCATTTCTTAAAACAAAGAAACCAACATTTTTAATTAAACACACAGCTCATATAAAAGGTAAAATAGCCAATGAAAGATATATAAGAAGAGATATTTAAGGTATAATTTGTTTGGAAAACAAAAGTAAAATTAAATAAAAAAGGTCAACTCTGAGCACCCTCGATTTCTACCACAAGTAACTTGGAACAACCTCACTTGATTTATCTTCAGTAGTCTTCTCATTTTATTTTAGGGATGTCCTCTGAGACCATTTGGTCTTTCTCAGTGAGGTTTTCTTAGAACAAGCCTCCAGGCTCAGTGTAAAAGCTGGAAATTGGGGGCCCCGAGTGCAGCCCTCTCAACAAGTTTGTTTGGCCACCACTGTAAAGTAAATATTTTACAGTTGAATGTCCTTAGGCAGGAAAGGCCAGTGACATTTGACCACGTTTGTCAAAACTCCTTTATCTGTGAGAACCCAGAGACACTTGAGTCTGAGACCTCTGTTTCCCAGTAAGGGATAAGCTATTTCCTGGCACATCTTAAAATATAGAACATGTGGAATATTAGAGGTGGAATAGATCTTGTCAGAGATATGGGATATGTTGGGGTATTTGGTGAAAAGGGAAACAAGACCCAGAGGGATTAAGCAAATTAATCCCAGAGCTGTTTGGAAACTTGGGTTTCACAAGGAAGAGACTCATTACCCCCGCCATGTAGCTTCCATTCCTAAGACTATACATATAGTCATTACTCCATGGACACAAGTGTCAGTGTCATGGTGCACAGGCAGTACATTATGGTGGTTAAGAACACGGATTTTTGTGCCAGATTAAAACATCATCCCATTACCTGCTATGTGTGTGAGCTTCCTGATCTGACAAATGGGAATAATAGCTGTATCTGCCTCATAAGCTTTTTGCAGATACTGACTGAGTTAATAAATATAAAACTCTTAGAATAGTTTCTGGCACTCAGTAAGTACTGAGTGTTGATTATTATCATTCATTCATTTATTAAGCATTGAAAGAACATTTTCTATGCTCAAGGCACTGTAGTAGGTCCTGAATATTCAACTGTGGACTAGAAAGTGCCATTCTTCAAGGAGCTAACAATCTAGTAGTGTGGGTGCTCTGACGCTACCAAAGCTTAATGCAAAGGCTAACTTTCAACATTAGATGGGAGCCTCATCTCTTCATATCAGGTGTCATTTCTTTTAAAAAAAAAACTACTGTAAAAAAAAGGTAAAATTGGCAAACATGTTTTAGTAATGAAATGCATTTTTCTGTGTGTATGATAAGGCAGTTGAAATTGAAGTCTTTTGAGAAAATCACCTGAAAACACTGCACATACTGACTTGATAAAGCTCCTATTTCTAGGGATATGGCTTATTTCACATTGGAAATGTGAAGGATAGTGAGTGCCCAGTATTTTTTTTTTTAAGATATATCCCTTCTTTAATGCAAACTGAAATCCTCTTAATTCCGGGTTCTCTTATTATGTTAGGAAATGCCGGGTGGAGCAGGGGAAGTGATTATCAAGACCTTAGAGCTTGAGGTCCCTGTTACTTCATACAGCAGACAGTGTGCTCTCAAACCCAGCATCCTGTTTGGTCCAAGCAGGTCACATGACTCCAGGAAGGCCAATCAGGGCTAATGAGATTCATTCCTGGCAAGTGGTTTGTATTATCAGGAGAGCCTTGGGACTGTAAAGCTAACAGATGGATCCTACTAACATGCTCTGAGTCCTGAATTAAGCCACACTTGAAACCACAGGGCTGTTCTGTTATGTGAGTAAATATATTCCCTCTCTGTAAACCTATTAGGCTTGGGTTTGATGTTTTTGTAAGCAACTTTGGTGGACTCCCTGAACTTAATAGTTTTAAACAAATGTTTTAAAAGTAAACATATAGTGGCTTGAATGTATCAATAGAAACCTGTCCATTTGTAAATAATCAGACTTATTTGCATACAGCTGGATGGACTCTACCCTATCCAGAGAGTAATTTGAACCATCGGCTTTGACTTGAGATAAGGAGAATAAAGAACACAGGTTCCATGTTCAGGCCGACTGCACCAAAAACTTGAGAAGTCCTGAAGGTACAGCAAGAAATTAAACTTGAAAGTATACAACGTGGCATTATAAGACATTCTTTTATGGAAGCAACTTGCTGTGGCAATTTTGGACTGGCATAATTGACTCTGGAGACAGACCTCCTGGGTGTGAATCCTGTTTGGCCACTTATTAGTAGTGAGATCTTGGACAGGTTGTTTCATTTTTCTGTGCCTCAGTTTCCTCATCTGTAAAAAGGGATAATAATAGCACCTATTTAAAGGAGGTTTTACAAACCACATTTGCAAAATATAGATGCCATATAATTTTTTTTAATTACAGATATATAAGGTAATAAACTAGACCTATGAATACTGACACATCTTCTCCCCAACATGACACTCTTTGGCCTGAAATAGAATACAAAGCAGTGACCCCAAAGTTCAGTGCAACTCTGATTCTTCCTTCAGACTACCTGGGCTATTGAGACACCGAACTTTGGGTTTCTATGATGAACAGTGATGGATTCAAGAGCCCAATCAACTTACACTACTACATTTCTGGAAGCTTAGGCCCATCTTTTGCAAGGTCTGCTTGCTGGTTCATGACTAAGACATGATGAAAAAAATTCACTTGAGGCCAGTGGTCATTTTCACCTGGGCCAGTCTTGGTGACCTGTTGACTCAAAAGTAATAGAGTCATTGCTCAAAAAAGGTTTGACAATAATATTTTAATAAGTACTAAAGAAAATTTTTTGGCTAATTCTGCCTCATGTGACCATGGAATAAGTAGATGTTTTCATTACCATATGAACCTTTTCAACATGTTTTGAGACATTTCAGTTCATTCCAAGATCCCTGATAGCCATTTGACATTTATAGTTAGGTTCACTTATCTTTATCTTTACCTGCGTCATTTTCCCTTGTGGATGTCAAATCCCACTTTGTTTTAGCCTTTGAAAGGGAACAAAGCTTTGATAATCCAGAAAAACAGCCTAAAACTATTTTCTTTTTTTTAAAATTTATTTTTATTTATTTGTTTGTGGCTGCATTGGGTCTCGGTTGCTGCACGCAGGCTTTCTATAGTTGTGGCACATGGGCTCAGTAGTTGTGGCCTGTAGGCTCTAGAGTGCAGGCTCAGCAGTTGTGGCACACGGGCTTAGTTACTCCGTGGCATGTGGGATCTTCCCAGAGCAGGACTTGAACCCATGTTCCCTGCATTGACAGGCAGATTCTTAACCACTGTGCCACCAGGGAAGCCCCTAAAACTATTTTCAATAGTGTTGCTTCATTACTATATTATAGGTAAGGTAAACAAGATTCAACAGGTACAGTAGTATTAAAAAGTATCTAATAAGATCAACTTCTTTTTGTGCAGCATACTGATTTGCACCCTTTTTAATAAAGTTCACAGAAATAAGCAAATACGTTTTTAATTGGGTTTTTGTATTAGACTTCTAAAATCCATACTAATATTTAAAAGAGCTATCCGTTTATAAACTGAGAAACTGTCAAATAAAATGGAAATAGATAAAATGTTTTATTGCTAATATATGACTTCATATGTTGAGTCAGTTATTCTCTTTGCTAATTTGACTAGTTTTAGCTTTTCTGGTTACTTAGATTGACTTTCTCTGTCTTCATTTTACCCTCCTTCTATATAGAGAAGTTAGAAAGCTAGGATTATGCTTCAATATGGCAGAGGAGTAAGACGTGGACATCACCTTCCTCCCCACAAATACATCAAAAATACATCTACATGTGGAACAACTCCTACAAAACACCTACTGAAAGCTGGCAGAAGACCTCAGACTTCCCAAAAGGCAAGAAACTCCCCATGTACCTAAGTAGGGCAAAAGAAAAAAGAAAAAACAGAGACAAAAGAATAGGGATGGGACCTGCACCTCTGGGAGGGAGCTGTGAAGGAGGAAAAGATTCCGCACACTAGGAAGCCCCTTCACTGGTGGAAACGTGGGGTAGGTGGGGGTAAGCTTCGGAGCCACGGAGGAGAGCGCAGCAACA